GGAATGTACCAAAGATGGTTTCTTAGATTTGACAAATGTGCTATGGAAATGTAAAATGTTAACAATGGAGAAAACTGGATAAAGAGTATAAGAACGCTAACCTACATTAGCAACTTTTCTGTAAATCTAAACTTACTCCAAAATTAAAAGTTTATTAAGAAATAAGAATGGGTATCTCTGGGTGGTAGGATTATAGGTTTTTTTTAAAAAATTCATCTGTGTTTTATAATTTTCAACAAGGTTCATTGTCATGAAAAACAAAGACATAGTCTCAGGAGACTTAATAATTAGCCCAAAGACACAAAGCCAAGGCAGTACAGGATATTCTGGAGTTAATCCAATTTTTTCCGTCCCAAACCCCTCCAGAAGTATGGGAACACACCCGAAGAAAACAGTCAACTCTCCTTGCTTACAAATACATAGAGTCATCAAAAGTCTTCTTGCATTTGCTCTGGTGTAACTGATGAGAAGGTAAGGAACAGATGAAAGAACATGGGCAGCTAATAAATCAGACAACAGGTACATGGGATTACACATTTATGTTTCCAAGTGTCCGTGGTTTTTTTTTTTTTTTTTTTTTTTGCTCCCAATGCCTTTAGGGCAGGTTTGGCTGGCTTGAGTTGTAGGGATGGAACCCCAGCAACCTGAGCCTGACTGCTTTGTTGAAGCAGCCACTTAAAGAACTGAGCTAAGGGGCAGGCCCCTTGTGTTAATATTTTCTTTCTTTCTTTTTTCTGAGACAGAGACTCAGTATGCAGTTCAGCTTCAGCTCACTTTGTAGCCCAGGCTGGTCTCCAGCTCACAACAATCCTCCAGCCTCTGCCTCCTGAGTTCTGGGATTACAGGCATGCACCAACACAACACGTTCTTAATTAAAAAAAAAAAAAAAAAGTCCACATCCATATTTCTTTAAAACAACAATGTCATTTCTAACTCTCTACTACTACTAGATGAACATTTCTGAGCATTACTCAATGAGGAGCAGAAAGCAAGTCCTAGACTAGGTATCAAGAAGTGCCAGTCTTCGCTCTACATTAAATGCCTAGGAAACTGACTGGTCTTGCTAAGTTCTCAGGGCCCAAATTTCCTTAGCTGTTGCTCCACTATCTCTTTCAAATTCCTTCTAGAATTAAAATTCTGATTTCAACTTTCTATTAGCTTCTTAAACACAGTCAAATTGAAATTCATCATTTCTCTGCACGAAACCCGTATGGCCCATCCTTCCCCCGGCTTCCTTATCCTTGATGTCCCTCCCATTCTTCCATGCCCCCAACACTCACAAGAGCAATGCCACCTCTGACTTGAGATACAGAACTGACTGTTCCACACTTAGCCTACCTCACCCAATCGGTCACACTTTCTGTTCAACCTCTAAAACATCTTTCCAAGGCCACCAGTTCAATTCAACTTGGCCTAATACCCTAAACCCAACTCTCGCAATTTTCCTCCCTACCATACACTACACTCATCTTTGGAATGACATTTAATACCTTCCAAAATCCAGTCATGACCCACTGGAAACCTTACCTAACACCTGTTCCTCTTACGTATCCCAGGACCCAGTCAGTTGAATATGCACTTTCCTCATGCACACATTTCTGACCGTCTCTACACACTGCTCTAGAATGCTCTTTTCCTTCCACTGCTTCTCATTTTCTGAGATTTAAATGCTACTTCTTCCATCTGAAATGTTCCCTGAGATCCCCAAGAGGGCAGGCACTCCCCACCCCTATTTAACACCTAAGCACCTTGTATGAACCCCTTTTATAGCACCTACTAAACTCCTTCTAGTTCCTCCATTTTTTTTTGTTCCTTTAGTCTCTGTATGAGATTATCAACTCCTTGTTGAAAGGAACGTTTTACTTACCTTTCCATTCCTCAAACAGAACCCTGGCACACTGATAGCCATGAATGACTTAAAGATGTCCTCCTACACACTGCTGCTCTCAGTCCTCTCAGCAGCCAGAGACAACAGCCAGAACCTTTCCTGCGTCAAGCCTCAAGCAGCCTCCTCCTCCATCTACTACATGCCTTACAGTAACTTGTGAAGCATTCAGTGGATGCGACACAGAGTAGAGCTGGCAGTAGAGTCCCAAAGTGCTCAGCTGAATCTTAGACTCACCCATCTGTTTCCCTTCAACCACTATCCCCAATAAATATTTTCACGGAACACGTTCTCTTTATCTTTCTATTGATTACCTATTAGGTGGTATTACCTGCCTTGTCACCCAAAACTCTCACCAACAGTTTATGGCATAATATAGCAAAAGATTTGAACAAACAAGATGCAAATAGTTAAATTTACTATTATAGGTCAATGAAACACAAGTGCCCTTTTACACTTAGCAAAATACTATTCAAGGAAAACTGGACTTCTGTCTAGCGTATCTAAGGTGAAACAAGTATATCCATGCATCTGTTAAAAGTACAGGCTGGTATCACACCTTTAAAAACAGCATGACAATACACATCAAAAGTCATAAAAACGTTCCTATCCTTTAATATAACAAATTCCAGGAGCCGGTGAGATAGCTCAGGGAACCAAAGCACCTGCTTAGGCAAGCGCAAGGCGCATGGTTCAATCCCTGGCACCACATGCCTCGCCACAGAGTGTGGGGGCAGTGGCGCACACCTGTAATCCCAGCACTGGGGAGGCTGAAAACAGGAGGATCACTATGAGTCCACTGCATTGTGAGACCACTGTTTGTAACAACCAAACACATTATAAAAAAAAAAAAAAAAATCCAACACTTATCCTAAAGATAGAATTACAGAAGACAATATAATGATGTACAAAAAAATACTCCAAAATAAATTTTCAACTTATTCAAAAAGAAAGTAAGCTCCCTCTAGGTGCAGTGACACACGCCTATAATCCCAGCTACTTGGGAGGCTAAGATGTAGCTTAGTGGTCGAGCATAGATGGTTCAATTAAAAATATAAAAGAAAAGCGTAATTTCTTGCATATCTAGGAAACGAAGGGTTCCAGGACACAAGCTTGATAGGGCCTCAGGAAGAGACCCATTGGTCCCTTGCATTGTTCACTCTGGCTTTAACTGACTGCATTCACGGTCTTCAGCTTTTCAGGGTTCAACAATTCATCTCAACTGGCCCTCCAATCATCCCTACAAACCTAAGGGGAACAAGCCATACAAAACAAAGAGTTCAAAAAGAAAGAACTAACCCAAGCGGTGATTCACACTCAGAAGGCGGAGGTAGGAAGATCTCCATGAGTTCAAGACCAGCCTGGGCTACAAAGTGAGCTCAAGGCCAGCCTGAACTACACAGTGAAACCCAGTTTCAAAAACACAAAAATGAAAAAAACAAAGAACTATTTATAATCCCAGCACTCAGAAGGCTGAGGCAGAATAGCCGTGAAACTGAGGCCAGCCTGGGCTACATAGTTAAGTCCATGGTCAAACTAAACTACAAAGACCCTGTCTAAAAAAATTTAAAACTACAGTCATATATTACTCCAGCCTAACCAAGCCTCAATTTCACCCTTAACCTTGAAAATCTACAGCTTTGCCACATTTAAGTTTGTGTATTCTCCAGGTCAATGTGCTAATTTGGCAGTGAACTGTGTCAGTGGAAAGGGATGTGGAGTCATAGACAAATCAAAAAAGTAGAAACTAGGAAACCTAGATATAAGAAAAAGATCAAGGGGGAGATTGCTCAGTAGAATAAGCGCTTGCCTGGCAAGCACAAGGGCCTGAGTTCAATCTTTGGTTCCGCCAAAAAAAAAAAAGAAGAAAAAGATCATATTAGAAAAGAGAAAAAGGAAGAAAAAAAGCTTTCAAACTACAAAGAATAAAAGACCAGGTACATAAAGAATAATTAGTTGGGCTGGCCAAATAGCTCAGTGGATTAAAGCACGTGCAAGCAGGTGCAGGGGCCAGGAGTTCAATCCCCAGGTCTGCCATGCGCATGGTGGCATGCCCCTGTAATCCCAGCTCTTGGGAGGCTGTAAACAGGAGAATCACTATGAGTCTAATCTCATAGTGGGACCCTGAACACCCTGTAGACCCTTCCCTAAAAATAATGATGTTATTGTAAAAATCTTACCAGCCAGAACCCAAAAGGCAGGACACTAAGTTATGTTACTAAGAGTTGAAGCTTTCTGGAGATGGAGATATCTAAAGGGAAAAGATTAGCTTTAAGAACACATCAAGCAATGAGTTTAGGTGTGGGAGATAGCTCAGAAGAGAGTGCACGCTTCACTCCTCCCTGCATTCAGTCCCCAGCACCCAAAAAAAGAACTTTAGCACTGTATGCCAACAAATATATTAAAAGTCTCTGAATTCTCTTTCTGTAATACTTTATTACCATTTTCCAATTTTAATACTAAAAAGACCAGGTTATTATGAAGAACCAAGATTAATTACTATGAAATAAAATATACCCAAGACCAAGTTGGCTTTATTTAGCAGACATTTTGGGGGAAAAAAGCAAAACAATTTGAAGGGCGACAGCACAGATGCAGGCTGTCATTACAACAAAGTACAACTTTTTGTTTCTATTGATATGTTCTGGATGTTCAGGGCCTCAAAACTGCTTATCTGTAGTCATTTCTGACCTAACAATCACAGGAGATAACACAATTCAATTCTTCACTGAGTTCCTTGGAGCACAGGGTGATTACCACTACAGAATGTTGACACAAAAGCTGAAAGATCTCTCCAGATCCGATCAAATGCAGACAAACTGAGTGTCTGAGGTTACCTGATATTCTAACCTTACCTTTCTTCAGACTAGTCTGACAGCACAGCAGGCACATTTCTTCAGTTTGTCCATCATCCAATACACTGCAGAAGCACCAACTAAGTCCTGCACCCTCAGGTCACCAGGGTTTCACTGCTGCCCTTTCTCACTCTCCTCCGTCCTACCTCATGTTTTCTGGTCAGATATTCTTGATGAGATGAAGTCTTTCTCGTTCTTTTTTCAGACATCATCAAGTTTTCCCTTTCTAAATACTTAACACCCTCCTAAGCCTTACTCACCTGCAGTTCACTGCACTGGGTATCACCCAAATAGCCCATCAGAGCTCTTTATAATTTCTGAAAGAGAGAGAAGAAAGCTTTTTTAAGTACTGAGTAGAAAGCAGCACTAGCTAATGTGTCAATTCAGAAATTTGTGTCTACCATTCATAGTATCTGGTTTTTTTGCCCACAATAATTCAATCAAATGTAGCACAAGCACCAGTGGACCAGAAAATAAGCCTCCAGAGCTAAAAGTTTGCTTTAATGTTGCTACCAATGAGCTGTGGGACTCTGTTTAAGTCCCTTTCTCCAGGACTATATTTCCTCATGCAAAAACTAATAAAGCTGGACTCACTAGAGGTAATAGACACATGCTTTCCAGAATAAGTACCATCTCCACTATCTTATTGGTCTTATGGCATAACGTAAGTTCACATTTATGCTTAAAATTCTTCCTTTGTCAAATGTAAATAACAACTGTCTTCTCAGTTGTCATGAGTTATAAAAAGCCTGCAGTAAATATACTGTGTAGCTTATCACAAAATTCAACAGATGGCAACTCATTACCACCATTTCTCTCACCACCAAATTATAATAAATTTGATTCACAAATATTTCATCAGGTCAACAAATCAAAACTTTACCACTCTGACTAGAATTGAACTGTCTCAGCATTTAGCAATTCAATTATAGTTATCTTAACCAGATGTTAGTTTGAGAAAATCACTATTAACATCACAGTAAGAACAGAACAGTCTGTGCAAGTTCAATAACCATAGAGCTCCTGATTCTCACTGTTTTCACTACTGCCAGTATACTCTGGAAAACAGAGGTTTTCCAAAAGCAAAGGAAGGCAGAACTATGGGAGGAGGAACAACAGAGGACTTCCTTTTCCATTTTTACTTTAAGAACTGCTCAAATTAGTTTCCCATAAGCATGCATGATTTTTGCATAAAGATAATTTTTAAACTACATTAAATATACTGCCTCCTAAAAGAAACCTTGTGTTACAGAAATATTTCCATCATAACAAGGAGAATTTCCATAGAAGAAAACAAAAAGGCAAATTCAGATGGGCCAAGAATACCTAAAATAGGGCACAGAAATAAAAATCACAAACATTCATACTTTAGAATGAGTTAGTCAAAAATTATGCCATGCATTCTTCGAAGAATCTGATGATGAATCAGCTTTCTTTTTAAATTCAAAAACAAAAGCATAAACTCTGACTTTACCAGACAACTTACGGCTCTTAACAAAAAAATGACAGTACAATTTGTAAGAACATATTAGTATGACTACTAGCTTAGGTTGGGAAATTTTCCATTCCTTTTGGATAGCGAAAAATTAAAATTATATATACACACACATATATATGTATATATATAGTTAAATATGCCTAAATTTCTTCCTTTGTAAAATGTAAATAACTGTACATAGTTAAATACACCTAAATTTCTTCCTACATATATACCATCTCCACTATCTTACTGATCTTATGGCATTACGTAAGTTCACATTTACGCCTAAATTTATTTTATTTATATATATATATATATATATGTATAGCTATACATAATAACAATATATGTTTTTGTGTTAATATGTAATAGTCTTTAAGATGACTAATAACTCTATTAGATTCAAATTCACTTTTAGGGCTGGAGAGATGGCTCAGTGGTCTAAAGCACCTACTTGGAACAAGCTTGGCAAAGCACAGGGACCGCGGTTCAATTCCCCAGCACCACATGCCAGCCAGCCGCGCCCCCTGGTGGGCTGAGCTGGCCACACACACACACACACACACACACACAATGAATAAATAAATAAATAAAAATTTTAAAAAAAAAACAAATTCACTTTTAAAAAATATTATCTCAGTCATCTTCACTAGGTGATCATTATGTGTCATGCTTCTTCTAGTCAATACTACAGAAATAATCCTGATACATTTATAAATTGAAGTGAATTATACGATGGTAAGGCTATATTGCTTACTCGTATACTTCTAAAATACATTTCAAGATATTACTTAGGGGGCTGGGGAGATAGCTCTGTAGAATAAGCATTTGCCTGACAAGCGCAAGGGCCTGAGTTCAGTCCCTAGTTCCACAAAAGAAAAAATATATATATATTATTTAGGGACCTGGGAAGATAGCTCAGAGGTCTAAGTGCCTGTCTGGCAAACGCAAGGACCTGGGTTCAATCCCTGGTACCCCATGCTGTGTCAGCCCTGGAACATCTAGCGCACCATGCCAGCCACCAGGAACAGGTGTGGTGACACATGCCTGCAATCCCAGCACTGCGGAGGCTAAGACAAGAGGATCACTACAAGTCCAAGCTTTATAGCGAGACCCTGTACCAAATAAAGATTTTTTAAAAATATATTACTTAAAAATTTGCAAGCATATTTACCTAAATCTATAAACATAAAAAACACTGACAACTCCCTTATAATATGTTAAGCAGTTCCTCTCCTAGGTAATTATTGTTTAAAACTTAACTCCAAAACTTCTATACTTTGAACTAGTAAAGGACCTTATTTCTTATACTGAGCTTGTATTTGTATTTAGTTTGACATCCTATAATGGGCTAATCTGCATTCGATATTCATGCCTCCCCTATTTATACCGAGAACACAGATATACTTGAAAAATTTGGTCTACTTACTTCTAGGTCCCTCTTTCATAAATATGCTGTAGATTATTAAATTACACTGGGCCCTTTGTAAGGAATAATTTCTCCTGTTGATTTGGCATCATTCCCCTCTCTCCTGTGAAAACTGGACAATCTATGAATGTATGTAGACCTTAAGACAAAGTACACTAAATGTTTATGCCATTACAAAATTAACTTGCTAACAAGTGCAAAAATCAAGTTTAACAGCTGATATAAGAGGTACAGCACTGTATTTACTGACTCCCAAAAAAAATCACCTTACCTAAAAATAGTGTCCTAGCTTCCTAGCCAAAGCACAGACTAGAAAAGCTGTGTCTTTACTCAGCTGAAACACGGACTTCTACTCCAGCACAACCCTCAATACTATGAGTGTTTCTCACTTCAGAATACAGTGCTTTGTGTAACATGTTGTTTGGTAGTTAACCACTAGCTTCACTCTGAGGTGAATGCTAACACTGGTCTACATGTGAGAAAAATGGAAAATGTCTTGATATAATTCAGGCCACATAAAATTACCTCAATTTTATGCTATCAAATAACAATCTCCATAGACAAAAAGCAGATCATTGGTTCCTTTCCATAAAATCTATAGGTTTTTAAAAACAAGACAAAAAGTTCCATCTGGGAGGTCTAAGACATGAATTCTCTATCTACAATCTAAAAAATTTGAAATTTCATTATTTGCTCTCCCAAGGGTAAAAATTATGCAAAATACACATACAAACTGCTGAGTTTCGAACAAAAATGCAGTATGTGTGCTTACAAAAGAATCTTGATCTATGTCCACCTTCATTTTCCAGGGTTGTATGCATATGTCTATATGTGTAGGAGGTTTTTGTTTTTGTTTTTTGAAACAGGATCTCACTCCGTAGTTCAGGCTGGCCTTGAACTCATCTTGGCTAGCATCAAACTTGTGGCAATCCTGATTCAGCCACCTAAATCCTGGGATTACTGGCCTGAGCCACCACCCCAGCCTGTGTGTGTGTGTGTGTGTGTGTGTGTGTGTGTGTGTGTGTGTGTGTTAAAGGCAAAATGTCATTTATATGCCTCAATCTAGAAAAATAAAGCATAGCTCATTCTTCTTAAATAAATGTTATAATAGGAAGTCTGTGAGAGGATTTCAAAATCCAGAGACCCAGACATTAATGGGAAAGAACTGCAATCACCAATTAACTGATCCTACTTACTTTCATTTTTCAAAAGCAGTGTAAGATACTTTTTAAATTTGAGAAAACTGGTTCTGTAAAATGAGAAATCATCAAACTTCTGTCTCTCCCTGTGAGACTATAAGGTAGCCACTAACACTATTATCAACAGTGCCCATGAAAGCCAAAGCATTACAAATTAGAGCAAATAAAACACTACTTACAATTCACACACTATGTATGACCGGAAAACGACAAACTAGCCTTATCCCTAATTATAGAACTCGATGCTAAACAGAACTTAATACTATTATTTTTATTTCAAAATAAGTACTGTACTAGAGTCAGGAATTTAAGAAAATAAAAGCAGCTGGGAGTGTGACTCAGTGGTCCAGCCCTCGGCTATTACAAGTGAGAGGTCCTGAGTTACTACACTACACTCCCAGCACTACAAAAAAACTAAAAATTTAAAAATTTTAAGAAACAACCTAGGGGCTGGTGAGATGGCTCAGTGGTCTAAAGCACCTACTTAGAACAAGCTTAGCAAAGCACAGGGACCACGGTTCAATCCCCGACCCCTGGTGGGCTGAGCTGGTCACACACACACACACACACACAAATAAAATAAATAAATTAATTAATTAAAAAAAAAAGAAAGAAAAAAACAACCTAGAGTGATGGACTTGCCTAAAATAATTCTTTCCAATCAAAAACATCTACTTTACAAGAATCCCACAAACTGCGCACAAATTCCATATACACAATCACACTCAATTTAATGTAATCAGTGGACATCAAAACAAAATTAAGCCATCCAATTAAAGTTACAAAACGAAATTTGAAGAGACAAACTCTTTACCCCTCAAGAAGACACTGATCAAGGGTAGCTGCACACATTTGGCTCTGGCTAAGTTCTACTGCATTTGAATATGTTGGAGCCACGAGAAGGAGTGGCACATTTGACATATTTTTCTTTTCTAAATCCAGCACATCTCATACCCTATTTGACTGAGAGGAACTTTTAGAAAATAAAGATGGCCCCATCAAATTAGGAAGTTTCAGTCTTGTCCTGAAGAGTTGATTAAAATACAGTGGGGGAAAAAGGAAATCATTTTTAACTGCAGCCTCACCTTACACATCTCACCAGCAGTGTAGTTCATTAGTGATCAATTACTTCATCCAATTCCTGAGGCAAACAGAAAAGGAAAATGTCTCCATACAAAACCAGAAACAGACATTATCAGTGGCAAACATTTTATCAGCCTGAAGTAAAAGGACATCTAAATTTCAAATGGAAAAAGTTGCAAACGTGGTACAGTATGCAGCTTTGCAAATGTTTCTATCTTAAATTTTTTTAAAAATTTCCTTTCAGTAAAGATTTAAAATGCTCTAAAATCAAAACAACAGTCATCTTTTCCAGCCCTTCGTTGACCCTACTTTCAAAAAAAAAAACAAATGAAGAAGAAACCTCGCTGAAGTTTAGGAGAGGGCACAATTAAGAACTAGCCTCCCTCCAACTCCAGGAATCCACTATGCCTAAAGTTGCACGTCTTATATTAATGGCTTGCCTGAAAACTCTAAGTTGTAAAGGGAGAAGAAAGAGCAATTTTGGAGGTGCAAACAAAACCTAATGGTCGCAATTTAAGAAGAATCCGAAGACCCTAGCTTCCAAAGAGCAATTATGGGGGTGCAAACAAAACCTAACTAAGGGTCCCAATTTAAGAAGAATCAGAAGACCCTTGCTTCCAGCCTTATCTGAAGGAACCTCAGCGAACTCCAAAGGGCGGAAGACTCAAATCCTCTAATCTGGACGAGAAGAATCCGAAGTTTCCTAGGTGCGACTGCAGTCTCCGAGCGAGCGCTAGAAAAGGGGACTTCCGAGGAACCCCCAGGAAGAGAGTCTGTTTTTATTTTTGTTGATGTGGTTGTGGGCCCGCGAGTATTTCTGAAAAAGGAGAGGGGCGGGGGACCCACGGCGAGCCCCGCGAAGCCCGCGGGGGAGGGGGCGCGGCGCTGACCCACTTCGCCCGACGCCCCCCACCCGCGGCCCCC